CCAGAGACTTTAGAGATCACATGAAGGCCTGTCAGGACTTGAACCCTAGCTTGTTCCATTCTTGCCCTTCCTTATCCTGCTTCCTTCGCTCCTTTATAGCACAGCCACAGCAGCCTTGTGCCCCTTGGGTACACACCCACCTAACATCCTGATCTGTCATCTCCTGGTGGCCTTGGCCTGAGGCTGCATCTGGTGCCTATTGTAGTCAACCATCCCTCCTACTGGAGTGAGTTCCTCCAAGTGGTCTTTTTCTCCAAGCCTCCATCACAGACTTTTCAAGTGTATTTGCCAAGTCCACTTCACAATCCTGCAACCAGAAGGAGCAATTCTACATCAAGAATAAATTAAAGCTTGAACTGAAATTCCTTCTTCCAAAGGCTAACATACATACATACCCTAAACCCACTGTTACCAGTTACTTCTCTGGTCTTCTAGGTAAATCTCTTGTGCAAATGTACTAATGTTCTTGTCAGGTAGAAGTCAACAGGCGATTCTGCAGGAGAGGGAGGAATCTCTTTAATTTATCCAAGGAGAAGCAGGTACTGATCAGGTATTGGAAACCAGAAGCCTAAGAAGATGAAGCTTGGGGAGGAAATAGAACTTGGTTTCCCAGATCTCTCAGAGTCAAAATGCCCTGCCATTGGCACTGGATGGTGGGGGTTCTCATAGGTAGGCCACCCAGAGTGAGACAGGGAGGGTTGTTAACTCTGTACCCCAGAGATAGATTGTGTGGGGAGCCACATCCTACAGACAGGTCAGCCAGACGGGCTCTTTGGGGGTTCATTCAATCCTGGTCTTCCTATTCCCTAATCTCATCCCACCCATGCCTTTAGCAACGTCTAGTTGCATTTGGCCAGGCCTCAGGGATGCAGATGAAGGGTGGAAGGAAGAGCAGGTGAGTAACTGAGGGAAGGTTTGGTGTCTCCACTTGGGTAGGATAGGATGGTAAAGGAGAATACTAGAAGGGTAACAAGGCTATGAATCTGGGGACCACACTTGTGAGGTCCAGCCCATGGAGTTTGTCCTCTAGCTTTTTGTTATCTTAACTCACAGTACCTTAGCAACATGCATAGGATTGCTTGACTTGTTAGGGTAAATAAGAAGGTGGAAACCCCATAAGGGTATCAGTGATATTTTCTCTTCTGCTTTTTGCTCCTAAATAACTGCTCTTGGAGGGGGCTGGCCTAATGCTAGAAGGAGCCTATTGGAGGGGGGGGAAGGCTGAGCCCTGGCTTTAGTACTTAGTGTGCGGCACTCCCTGGAGGCTGGCTCAGGACTCAAAGTGTCCAAGGGAAAATGAGTCCTGTGTGAACCATTAATACCTTAGAGCAGATCAGCTCAAATATTTCCCCAAAGTCCCCTGAGTCCAGAGGCATTCTCAGTGCCCCCCTGAGTTGCAGACACTGGGAGGTCAGCTCAGTGCAGCTGTCACTGCACAAGCACATTTCTCTGAATTCTCCATTTCATCTTGAATATTCATGTGAATTTTGCAATTGACTTCATGATACTTTAGGGCTAGTTTCAGAATGAGAAAGATGTGAGAAGTGGGATAGACTAGTTGCTAAGAACATGCCCGTGGTTAAATATGCATGCTTTGAAATGTGAGCATGGCTACTCCCCTACTAATCCCTGAGAGGAGAAGCACATTCAGTCAATCCTCATTACCTAAGATTTCCTATTACTTTTTCTTTTTGTTACAGAGTCTCATTCTCTTGCTCAGACTGGCATACAGTGGCCTGGTCATAGTTCATTGTAATCTCAAACTCTCGGGCTCAAGCCATCCTTCTACCTCAATCTCCTTAGTAGCTAGGTCTACAGGCCTGTGCCATCGTGCCTGGATAATTTTTAAATTTTTTGTAGGAACAAGGTCTTGCTATGATGCTCAGGCTGCTCTTGAACTCCTGGGCTCAAGCCATTTTCTTTACTTGGCTTCGCAAAGTGCTGAGATTATAGATGTGCACCACTGTGCCTGGCCTGATGCTGTCTGTGAATTCACATACTCACCAAAATTTATTTGCAACCTCATACTTAATACTTGTAACACTTTTGTTTGAGTCCATCTTACTTTGTCACCCTTAGTAGAGTGCTATGGTGTCATAACTCACAGCAACTTCAAACTCTAGGACTCAAGTGACTCTCTTGTCTCAGCCTCCCAAGTACTTGGGATTACAGGCACCTGCCACAACATCTGGCTATTTTTAGAGATGGGGTCTCACTCTTGTTCAGGTTGGTCTTCAACCCACGAGCTCAGGCAACCCACCCTCCTCAACCCCCCGAGTGCTAGGATTACAGGTGTGAGCCACTACACCCAGCCTTGTAACGCTTAAAACCAGTTGATAACTGGTGAAAATTTTGAGTTGCTTCTTGTGCCTATTCCCAGCTAAGGTAGAACAAGTCAGCTTTTTATTGACATGTTTTCACATCTTTTTTGTTGTTGTTATTGATTTCTGTTGCATACTGGCATGAGAGAGGGACCTCTCAAGACCCCATGGCAGGAGAGAGAGTTGGCCTGAGTGGAAAGAGGTGGGACACACACAAGAACAAAACACATGAGACGAGAGATGAGAGATTGGACGGCATCTGGAGGACAGATGCAGCTGATGGCTGCAGCCAGCACCTGAACCATGGAAACAGGTTTATTTATACAGTATCTTAACAAGGTTGCGTAAATCTTAGCACACGAGGTAGAGATCTTAAAGAGGAAAAATTATGCTTGCCGATAATAAGGAAAGTATGCATGGGCTATGTGACTTCTGGCAGGTGGAAAGAATGTTTGTTCAAGAAGCAGCTGGTGGTCATTCCCTGAACGGCACTCCAGACTGTGGGGGCCCTGCCGCCCACAGCCTGCTCCCTACATATTTTGCTAATTAAAATGGCCCCCAAACACAGTGCTGACATGCAGTCTAGTTCTTAAATGAAGAAGGATGAGATGTACCTTGCAGAGAAACACATGCCTAGAGAACACATGATGAACACCTGCCTCGTTCATTCAGACACGAGTTGTCATGCTGGTGGCCATGAGCTCAGTGTTAATGAATCAACAATATGCATTAAATAAGATGTCTTTAAATAGAAACACACATAAAATAAGGCAATGTGTGTTGACTGGTTGACAAAATGATGGGAGCTTATAGGAACTATTTCCTCAGCAGCAGTGGCTCAATATTTGCAAATTCATTGTTCCTGTGACTTTGTAGAACACTATTATATTGAACAAAGACATTGGACTGTACACAGAAGTTGTTTTTTCTCAGGCTCTGGTGGGTCTGGACATTGATGAAGCAAAGAATAGAAATCTCCTTGCTTTTCTGGTTCGGTTAAAACATTCCTTCCAGGTTACAGAAGATTTCCAGCAGATAACCTTCTGACCTTTTACCAAGGCCTCCAGCAGATGACCAGTTGATCTCTTGCACCACACCCCCAGTTACTGAGCTATGACTGACCTGCCCCTCACCTCCTGAGAGAGGCCTGCACCCCAGCGTGAACTGCTGCTGTAAAAAAGGCCCCTCCCCCTCACTCGGCACCCTTGCCTTTGTCCATTTTCAGTGACAGCCCATCTGCTTGCAGATGTTTTAATAAACCTGCTGCTGACTCCACTCAGCCTCCCATCTTTCACACTGAATTGTCCTCTGCTCACTTTCCACATGCAACTGCTTTCCTTGGAGTGAAGAGTCAATCTCAGGGATCCTGCTTTGGCCACCGGAAGTCAGCAGAATGAGGAAGGGAAGGGCGGGTGGGAAGGGTGGCAGCGCCAAATCCTGTGGGAGAGCACTAATGGGATCTAGAATGTACCAACTACAGAAGGCAGGAGAGCGACTTGAGGGTGAACATGTCAGGCTCTGAGACAGGCCGACAGGGATCCCAGTTCTGGCTTCTGCACTCACCGCTGGAGCTACAATTTCTCTTAAGTGCAATGGCGCAGTGCTACTCACTCCTGCCATAAGGCCCCAAGTCCGCTGTGACTGTTATACACACAGAGAGGGGCACAGCGGCGGACACGCGGTAAGAACTTAAGGCGGTGTTGAGTATGACAGGGCTCAGGTGGGGCTCAATGCTGACTTCGAAAGGAATCCCCTCACTTTTGGTTTATATGGCTGGGATTAGGCCAAGGTCGGGAACAAACCCACAGGCAACCCCTGCTACCCCCACCCCAGAGCACCAGCTGGGCACTGCATTATCCCGGCAGCTGTGGACTCTCAGTCTGCCAAGCTCTGCTCATCTAGGGGGCTCAGACTGGCTATCCGGGATGTAGGCCAAGGTTAAGAGGCGGCCCCGCGAACTCTGAGGTCTCCGCGGGGTGAGCGAGGGCTCTGAAGGCCACTGGCTCCGGTGCTATCTGAGCGGGCAGCTGCAGGAGGAGGCTCAAGCCGGGTGGGGGCCGCTGGTCTCCGACTTCGGTCTTCCCTGGCCAGGAGCTCCTAAGGCTGTCAGGCACGAGCCAGCGGTTCCGGGCAAACCTCCGTGTGGCCGCAGGGCCTGCCTGTGCCAAGCCGACGCCCGGACCTTGGGGCGGGTGGAGGCTCCAGGAGGTGGGGCGGGAGGGGCGGCGGAACCCCTACTTCGGCTCGGCCGACTCGGGGGGCGGCCCGGCTGGCTCGCAGCTCAGCGGCCGCCTTTCCCCAGCGCGCCTGCCGGCGGCGGCGGTGCCGGCGTCGGCAATCCCGGCTCTTGGCACAAAGCCTGGCGGCCAGCCCAGGGCGAGGAGTGGCTTCCAGGAAGCGGGCGGAGGAGCGTTCCAGCCGCGTCTCGCCGTCGCCGCGGCCCCGTGTGCTCCGAGCAGCCCGGGCTCGGCCTCGCACCCAGTCTCTTCGCTCCCGCGTGCCCTCAGCTCCGTCCGGGGGCGTGGTGCCTGCGCGCGGGCGGACGGGCGCCTGGGCGCGCCGTGCACTTGCCGGGCTGTGCAGGTGGCGGCGCGCGCCCTCCGCCTCTGGGCCCCGGCCAGGCTGCGCTCCGCGCGCCCGGAGGGGCGGGAGGGGCGGGGCGGCCCGGGTCCCAGCCCCATTTAACTGCGCCGCGGCGGCTGCGGCGACTGCGGCGCCGCGGACTGGAGGCCGGCGTCGGGGAAGGTGGCCGTCCTGGATTGTGCACGAGGTGTTGATCTGGCCGCTTCTCCCGGTCTCTACTTAGCGCGCCCCGCCGGGCTGCACGTTCCGGACGCTTCTGCGGCGCAAGGTGGGTGCAGCCAGCTGGGCGCAGGGTGGCCAGGCGGGGTCGAGGGAAGGCTCGCCTCAGGGGGAGGAAAACTCGCAGCGGTGGTTTTTCTAAGCATTCCAAGGGGGACTCCAAGTGGGGTGGGTGGCGTGCTGTGCCGGCCCTGGGGGCTTCAGGACTGGAACGCTCCGTAGGGCTTGGACACCGCGGGCCAGCGTGCTCCCTGGAGGGCTGGGGAGAGTCTTTACAGGCTATTTGCGGGCTGAGGGGCATTCTTGATTATTGGGGGAAGGGGACCGTCAGGGGTTTTGAGGATTGGGAGATTCTAGGTAGAAAGCCTCCAGCGTCCGAAAGTCCAGCATGTTGGCAACTAGTTCTCTAATACCTAGAGCGCAGAGGACTGAGGTGACGCGCGTGCCGTGGAAAGTGGGCGTGGAGGATGACTGGGACCCGACGGGGACTCTGTGGGAACGCCAGAGAAGCGACGGCTGGCCAGCGAGTAGGCGGAAAAAGTGTGGGCTAGGAAGGCTGGTGCAAGCGAGCTAGGGGCCGCAAAGTCTCCGGGCCTGGCACCAGCCGCCTCCCTTCAGCCGGGAGTCGCCGCCTCAGGTCGGAAACAGCAGCACATTTGCGGATCGCGTTAGGCCAGGCCCTTAATGCTTTCTCCAGATGGAGAGAAGCCACCGACCCGCCCCCGGACACCGGCTCCGCCAAGGCGCCCGCGAGGCGGAGCGAGAGCTGAGTGTGACCTCGGCTTTTCCAGTCTCCGCTCATACTGATTTTCCTGCAAATTGACAGGAAAACCCAGGAAAAAAAGCCCCCGCTGCCCTCCTGGTCTCAGCTGACCTCTGAGTTTACCCTCACCTTTTTTAGTTCCTAAAATTTAGGAGATTGTGCTAGTCTGGCTCTCGGCTGCGCCCTTCAAACATCCCTTAACTCCATTCTGCGGACTCTGGCTGTGGGTCTGGAGCTGGGTGCAGGGCGTGCGGTGTCATCTAGTGGGGGAAGCTTAAATTGTCAAAAAACCTACGTTCCAGTACCAGAAAACCATTGTTTTGCTGTGTGATCTTAGGCAGGTCCTTTCCCTACCTGAGCTGGCTGAGCTGCTCTTAGACTCATTATTTTGCTTCAAGCAGCAGAAGCTGGCAGGTACCCTAACCCTTGGTTCTGTGCTGGCTTCCTAAGTCAGATGCCAAAAGCCACACCCTGCTGCTGACAAATGGGCTGAGAGGTGGCTGGTGCAGGGATGTCTCAGCCTATGGAGGGCTGGAGTTGAGAGTTGCCTACCAGAGGCAGGTCCAGCCCTCTCCTGACCTTGCTATGGGTCTTCTAAAGGGAGCCCCAGATAGCCTGCACCCTGCAGTAGGCACCCCATCCTGAGCCAGCCTCAACCTTCCCAAGACATTGTCTGGGCTTCTGGGTCCTTTTCTGATTAGTCTTTTAAAGTCATGGATACTGCCTCTGGGGCGGGAGCTGGTGGAAACCAACTGTTTCCTCTTTTGTAGACTTCAAGTGAGATCCCCAGGAGACCAGACCCAATGGCTTCCTGGAAGACCCCCTGGTGGTTGCTGAAGTGGATGGTCTTCACACACTCTACTCTCCTGCAGGTAAGGTAATAGGGAGGGGAAGAGGAAGAGTGGATGCTCCTCTGTTTACTTAGGAGCATTACTCTAGACCACCTGAGACTGTGATAATGATTAGCATTAATCCTACATAGACTCTAATTTTCCTACCTCCAGTCAATGGTATTTGTGGTTGGATGACCCTTGGGTTCTCTGAACCCAAGACCCTGCTGAGCAGGGTCTTGATAGCACTGTAGCAGCCATGTACCAGCAATGACTTGGACCCTGGATTTCAGACTAGAATGAATGTCTACATGTGCACAGCAGAGGCTGGGATGCTAGAGTCCAGGGCAAAATCAATGGGCAGTTAGGTTCTCGCCCTAGCTTAGCCACTAAGTAAGTATTCTGAGTTTACTTCTATCATCACACATTTCATTGCTTTGCAATCCTCTCTTTAGACTTCTTTCTTTCTAACCAGTTTGAGAGGACCCAGATCATGGATTGCACTTTTATCTGCCTGCAAGGCAGACTCAAACACAGGTGCAAGGCTAGCATTGCCTAAGAGACAATAGGGAGTGATGGTGACAGTGGCAAAGTGGAGAGGCTCCTTCTATTAAGAACATCCTCTACTCAATTCCAGCTGATCATTGCTAAGTGGGAACACAGCCCAAGATTGCCAGATCTTCTTATTTTTCAAGATAGCTGAATCATCCAGATTCTTATAAAATCTCCCAGCTTTTAAAGCACTGAAAGCTAGGCAAATATGTTTGCAGCCTGGATTCAGCCAAGCAGTTTTCAGCCTAGATCTAAAGGCAGAACACATCTTAGAACTGCATCCAAGGGCTGCTGCTAGTCTCATATAGTGTCTTGTGTGAATTAGAGCAAGGTGACTCCTCCTTGCAGACATTACTTCTCAGGCACATGGGTTAGTGATCTGTGTACTCTCTAGATCTAGCAAAGGACCTGGCACGGAAGGGCTTAAATGTCTGTTAAATAAGCATGCATGCGTGAATGAAGGTATACACCCGGGGATAAATTAATCAGGCTTTCTGCTTCTCATTTCTCTCTCTTGGACTTGGTCTCTGTGGCCTCTTTTGGCTCTAATGCCCTATGAATTCTGTGACTCACACAGAATTGGTCTGCGAGGTACATCTTCTCCCCATTAACCCATTTTATTGATGCTGCACCATAATCACATTTTAATAGGTCTCTTTGTTAGAACAAATGTTAAGTATTTTCAGGATTTTAGGATTTCTCTGGCCAGCAAGTGAGCGTTGAGGTAAAAGGGTGGAGACTTACATTTCTGTCCCACCCGCAGATCTGAAATAGGCTATGAGAGCTTCAGAAATTTGTTCCTGGACAAATGGAGCTGAGTGAGGCTTCAAGGCACACGTTTAATTTTTTCTTCTTTCACCCTATAAAATTTAAATGTGCTTTGAGGCAGTCTGTTGACCTTTGGCCAAGGGCAGTGTTTGCCCAGCTTGAATCACTGAGTAACCTCTTTTGGATTTTTCCATATCTGTGCGCCTGTGGCAGTTCTGCTTCCCTGTATCAAGGCAATGTGCACAGAGTTCATAAAAGGCGGGCTCGGACCAGGGGTCTTCATCATTCACGGCCACCCACTGCTCCAACCCGAGATACACCACTGCGTCACTGTGTCACGCAAACATCTCTGCATCACATCTCAGTTTCCACATCTATAGAGACGAGATAAGAATTGTTTGGAGGACTTAATCCATTGTGAAGTGGAAAAACTGAAACAAAACAAAACAGTGCCTGGCACCTAATAAGTGCACAATAAATGTCAGCTCTGCTGTAACAGCCGCTTGTCACCCTTAAAGATTTTAAGCGAGCACAGTGCGTGTATTTCCCGCTGTGGGGCGGTAGGGGCACTCAAGAGGTATCAGCTAAGGAGAGAAGACGCTGCTTCTTGTGCAGGTTCCTGCAGGTGTGGGTGGGTGTGGCCAGGTTCAGCGCACCACGGCCGGGAAGAATGTTCTAGTGAAGGGTAGGTCGGTCCTTGGGCCCTTCCCGTGGGTTGGACACTGGTTATCCGGTTAGGGTCAGCGGAGTTTGATTCCAGGCTGCCTTTCTGAGGTCTCTTGTGATTCTGGCTTTTGGGAGGGGTTCTTTAGGATCTTTCTTCCCTTGCTTTGGAAGTGCTGCCGCCAGGTGGTTGGTAGAAAACTAGTACAGCAGAGTGCGAGGCTGGGCTGCAAGGAGCCTGAGATGCTCCAACTAATTAATAAAAAGTAGAAGTAGAGTAGGCACAGAATTAATAAAAATGTTCTTTGTTAAATCAGCTAAAACTTAAATACTTACATTCATTGCCCACAAGTAATTGCGATAGATCGCAAGACAAGGTGTGAGACTGGCCTTGTTTTTCTGCCTCATTCATGATCACTTCTGGAGGAGCTTGCTGTTCCTGCCCCCAAACAGCAGGAAAGGCCTCCCCTCTCCCTGTCTCTCAGGCCCCGAAGCTTTCTGTTGCTCTAGCCCTTAACTGAGGGACATCTTTCCAGAGAACACAGCAGCTGCTATTACAGCTCTCTTCCAGCCTGGAATGTTTGAGAGCTTTTCAAACTTTATCCTGACACCTTGAGGTGGACTTGAGGAAGAGTCCTGTGGCAGTTGTCCCCTGAATTACAACTTTCCCTTGGTTTTTTTCTCTTGCCCAGGAGAAAAACAAACCACCTCATTTGTCTGCTTAATTTAATAGTCTTGGGATATCTTCCTAGCCCTTTAGCAACTTTCCGTAGAAATGGTTTTAACATTGGCTATGTAGCTTGCTTGTTCATCTTTAAACAATCACATCCAATGGTCCCTCACATATCCCAGTGGCCCCTTACCAGATGTTTTCATCTTGGGAGGTGCTTTGTTTAGATTCTTGGCAAACTCTCCCCCCACCTCTTGTCACTCTGGGTGAGAGGGCCTGTTCAGAAAGATGGATTATCTTTGGCCATCTCCCCCGCCAAGACCACAGACATCTACTGGAACAGGTTCCTCAAGGTGACAGTTTTGAAAGGCAGGAGACATTTGGATGAACAGGCTCTGGCTTTCCCTGACCGCTCTGCCCCTGTGACGGCAGGTACAAGTTTTTCCGAGGGCTTTGCAGGATCTTCCTTGCAGTGGCGGTCCAGCTCTTGCCTGTCACTTGCTTGTCACTTGATGCTGGGGTCTTCTCACCTAGCCTGCAGCCTTAGTGGACAGGGTGCTGGCCAGAGAGTTTGAACTCGATGCCTTAGTGTTGCCCACTTGACCAATAGAAAATGCCTACACTTTGTTGCACGCAGTGGGGAGACAGGATGCTTTAATGCCGTCCTCCCTCTCTGTCCTGCCAGCTCCCTTCCATTCTCCTTTCCTTGCTCTGGTAGACCCAGGGAGGAATCAGGGACCCACTGTCTAAGCAGATGTCCTTCTGGAGAGTGGGTGGTCAGTTTCTCCTTACAGGCACTCCCAATCTTTATGGATGTTTTACTTTCTCTGTATTTCCCTTTTCATTTCATAACTTCAGTGAGCTGTGATCATGTCACTGCATTCCATCCTGGGTGACAGAGGGAGGAGACCTTGCCTCTTAAAAAAGCTGCTCAATTCCAGAGCCGGGCCCTTTGCTCTCTCCTCTCCCCCTCCATGTGCTCTCCTCAGGATGTCTCTATCACTCTGTTACATGTTAACATTGAAAATAAGACACAATCTTGATAACTGTTTTTTAAAATTTCATTCTTTAGCTCTAGGGCCCCTCCAAAATGGAAGAGACTTGGACCCCTGAGAGGCTTCTTTTTGCCTCTTTGGTGAGCTACAGATCAATTATCTCCACTAACTACTGCACACCTCCAGTAGAACACCCTAATAGCCTCAAACAATGTGCTTCCCAGCTATAATCCTCACCTCCCACTGCTGTCTGCTTTCTCCATAATGGTCATTCAGGCAGATCCTGGCACCACCCTGTATGCTTCCTTCTCTGTTGTCCCTGCCCTGTGCCCATTCTGCCACAGACTCCCATTTGTTCCATCTCAGAAATGCCTCTTAAATGTATTTCCTCCTCTCAATTTCCACTGACACCATGTCTTTGAAGAATAGGGTTCAGGTGGTAATGATGGGACCTTAAGGCCTATTTCTGGGGAGCAAGCTGGATGGACAGTTAGTTGTAGGAGAGAGGATGTATGAGGATGGGAGCTATTTTAGAGCCTGATAAAGGATTGTGTGGGAACTGATAGGGAAGAATTGAACATTCTTTCAGGTTCTGAACACGTTCTAGGGGCACATGAAGGTGGAAATTCACCTCGATCCTGGGAGACGACTGGTTACATTTAGAGGATGATATGGATTGCAGAGGGTGAAGCATGAATAAAAGAAGTATACTCTTTGGGAGGAAACAGCATTTAGAAAGGTTTTGCTTAGCAGAGTTTGTTTCAGATTATCTGTATTCCAAAAGGGAAGCAGCCAGGAGAAAGAAAGAGCTTGAAGATGTAAGAGGAAAAAACCAATTATGTGTAATTGTTTTATAACAGAGAAAAAGTAGGCAGTGTTTCTTCACTGCATTACTAATGGATCTTAAAGCACTGAAGCTAACATCTTATGGAAACCACATTTCAAGGTTTATGATTGTGAATGCTTTCAGTTTATTTTTACAAAAATGCTAATTTCCATAAATAGCATGGAAGCATAAAGCAATTTCCTCTCCAAGTATTTCATGCAATTACTTTCTGGAATTTGTCAGCACTGAACAGCTCCAGCCAATGTATGCTATAAATTATTGTGGTCAAATACTCAGAAATGCTTTTATTCTCCAAGCCTTCATTTATAAGTAAACCAGCATTTTATTTTGAAAATAATTTAAAAATAAGGATGAATAACTCTATAATAAAGAATTATTTACAATGTTAAGGGGCTCTTTAAATTCTTTTCACACTCTCTTTTGAAATTACTTTCATGTGTTTTTTTCTGATTTAAAATCATAAAACATATTCATTATAAACATGTAGAAAACACAGGAAAGGCCAAAGATGAAAATAGACTCCAATTTAATTCTTCTAATTGTAAAG